TCTATAAGTAATTTGAAAAAAAAATTTTTTAATCTAAAAGGCCCTAGGAAGCCATTGATCTAACTTGTATTTAGTTCTTTTAGGTGCTTGGCTTGAATAATTATGTGAATGGTGGGATTAGTTACTGGGGAAGAGGAGAACTTTTCTTTTTTAGAAAGTGTGATTCTTTTAAAAAAAAAAAGATTTTATTTATTCATGCATACAAGAACTGGGTACAGGCCAGAAGTGGGAGTGGGGTGAGAGGATTTACAGAAACAGTGGGGAGAGAACAGGCAGACTGACTGGAATACACTGCTGAGGGAAGCAGCGGGCAAGACAGGAGAGGTCCGCTGTGCCATGTGGGCTAGCTCCTTGGCCAGCCATCAGAACTCATCTTGCAGTGGCTTGATAGCACTGAGACAACTTCTGCGCCACTAGGGAGGCCCCCAAGAAAGCAATTTTTAAAGTTTCAATATGGTAAACTATCAATAAGTCACAAAAGTCAGTGGCCACCAAAAAACAGTTCTATCATTTGGACACAAAATGAAAAACACAAACCAAAAAACTTCTTTTCATATAAAAAGTAAATTGGAATTAAATATTGCATTTTTTTTTGCACATATGTATATTGTTTTTCTAGGAGACTTAGAAATTGAGTGATGGGTTAAAAATGTGAATTAAAGGGCCTCTCTGATGGTGCAAAGAGTTAAAGGACAGCACTATGAAGGTATCCACAGCCACTGCGCACAAGTTCAATACCAGCCAGGGAGGTTACTCACATGGTGCAGCAGTATATTTCAGTACATCTGCCTGTTCTGCTCCCCACTCTGTCACTGGTGAATCCTCTCACCCTTCGCACTTCAGGCCTACTCCCCAGTTCTTACATGCATAAAAAATCTACCCCAAAAAATGTGAACTGTAAAAAATTATATTTTATGTATCAAATTGCTCTTGTAACAGGCTGCACCATTTACATTCCAACCAGTTTCAAAAGTACCTTTCCCCTATCTTTACCAAAGCTGATCAAAACTTTTATTTTTGCCAATCTCATGCATGTAAATGATCTTTTTAATTGTATTTCCCTGGCTGCAAGTAAAGTTAATAATTTTCCACAATAATTGTCTGTCTGTATTTCTTTTGTTATGTAATTATATATACTTTGTCCATTTCTTGATTAGATTGTGTGATAATTTAATAGAGATCCTATTTCTAATTTGTATATTCATAAATCCTCCCTAGACAAACATATCCTTGGGATTACTCAAAATCATCAGCTGGCCACTCAGAATCAAAAAATGTAAGGAAGCTGGATCTTCGCAGGGTTTCAACAGAAGCAGTAGCAGAATTTGGGATTTCAAAAACTTTAAACACAATGAACACAATAATCATTATTAAATAGGTAATAACTGTATTTCATGTCTAGAAATAAAAGGTGCAACTAAAATATCAAGAAATAGCGATCATTATGCAAGATCTTAAACTAATTAAACCTCTAGAAATTAAAAATGCAAGGACTAAGGTGAAAATTTCAATGGACTAAAATTAGGGATGAAGAAAGCTACAAATTGGAACAAAGTACAAAAAAAGCATAAAAGTCTAAAATACATTTTTTAAACTGGAGTATCATAAAAGAAAAAATTTGGGGGTGGACAGTACTGTAGGATAATGGCTAAGGACTCCAGAATAGTTGAAAGGTCGGAATTCTCTGATGCAACAGCCACATAGAATCCAAATAAAATCAATGAAGTGAAGTCTATATTCCAAGTAATCAAAGACAGGAGATTCTAGAAACAGCACACACAAAAAAAGAAAGACTGCTATAGTGATAATTATACTGACAACAAAATATGTCAATGCCAGAATCCAGAGGTATATCCTCAGTGTACTAAAAATACAACCCACCTATAATCACATAACAATGCATATTAGGGCCTCCCTGGTGGCACAGGCTTAAAGTCTCATCACCATCAAAATGTCACCATCCACTGCATGAGTTCGATTCCCCAGCCAGAAGCTAACCCACATGGCAAAGCAGATTTCTCTCACCTGCTGCTCCCCATCAGCAGTATATTTCAATCAATCTGCTTGTTCAGCTCTGGACTCCAGTCTTTGATGAATCCTCTTACCACCTAACCTACAATCACCCCCACCACTGGCATACACACCCCCTTGTATGCATAAGTAAATAAAAGTAAATCTTAAAAAGAAAGAATGAATGCGGCCCTTCCTGGTGGCTCAGCACAGCGGGTTAAAGCACTGCACTAAGAAGCTTAAGCCACCTCCACATGAGTTCGATTCCCTTCCCACCTGTCCTGGAGGCCACCGCATGGCGAGGCAGACCTCTCCTGACCCACCCGCTGCTCCCCTCAGCAGTGTACTTTGTTGATCTGCCTGTTCTGCTGCCCATTCTGTCTCTGGTGAAGCCTCTCGCCACCCCTGAGCTTCTGGCCTGTACCCCAGTTCTGTATGCACAAATAAATAAATCTTTAAAAAAAATGCAAATGAAACAATTTAACAAATCCCAAATTAATTTTAAATCATGTGCTGAGATTTTTTTCTGAGCAAAAGAAATAAGCAGAAAAATTTGTGTACATATGTAATTTAAATAAATACTGACTATATAACAGTGCCTTTTTCTAAGAAAGAACTACATAAATACCTGACAATAATAACAATTTTAAAATAACATGATAGGGCTCTCCCTGATTGTGCAATGGGTTAAAGCACAGTGCTAAGAAGCTATCCCCATCCATTGCAGCACAAGTTTGATTCCCAGCCAGGGAGATGACCCACATGCCAATGCAGACCTCCTGTATTACCTGCTGCTCCACTCATCAGTGTATTTCAGTCCACCTGCCCCAGTTCTGTTCCCCACTCTGTTTCTGGTGAATCCTCTCTCCTGCCTCCCCCCAGCAGCTCTGGCCTGTACCCCAGTTCCTGTATGTATAAATAAATAAACCTTTTTTTTTTAAAGACTTAAAGATGCATACAGGAACTGAGGTACAGGCCAGAGGTACAGGTGCAGTGAGAGGATTCACCAGAGACAGAATGGGGAGCAGAACAGGTTGGTCGACTGACAAGTACACTGCTGAGGAGAGCAGCTGGCAGGTCAGGAGAGGTCTTCCCCACCATGTGGGTCAGGTCTGGTGTGGGGATTGAATTTATGCTGAAGAGGCTTTAGCATCTTAATGCTGTGCTTGAACATCTTTAAAAAATAAAATAGGCCCTCCCTGGTGGCGCAGCGGGTTAAAGCACAGCACTGAGAATCTAAAGCCGCTTCCACATGAGTTCGATTCCCGCCTGCCCAGGAGGTGACCACATGGCATGGCAGACCTCTCCTGACCCGCCTGCTGCTCCCCTCAGCAGTGTACTTCATCGATCTCCCTGTTCTGTTCCCCACTCTGTCTCTGGTGAAGCATCTCACTGCCCCTGAGCCTCTGGTCTGTACCACAGTTCTGTATGCACAAATAAATAAATCTTTAAAAAAAATAAAATAAAATAACATGATAGAAGTAAGTGATTAAGATAGTCTAAGGTCACTGTATTTTTCAGAAGAATGTTAGAGATGTTATTTAGCTTTGGGCTTGAATTAAAATGTAACAAGGTGGTACCCAGGAAAAGGGGAAGTTCCAGGTTCCCTCCCCCACCCAGAAGGAGGGTGGAGCTGAGGAGAGATGGGATAGAAGCAAGCAGGATGGCCAGCCGAAAGGAGACCTGAAGAAGCCACATGGAGCGGGAAGCATGTCATGAAGAAACCGTGCTTGTTTCTTGGCCCTGGACTGATTGATACAGATGTAGGTGAGAGACCATGGGGTGGTTGACTACAGCAGCTTTTATCTTAATTTTGATTTTGCTCTTTTCCTCCCATACTTGTCTGGCTATGTGTGACCATTTTCTGTGGGCCCCTGCCAGAGGTGCTTTAGTCTTATGGAGGGTTTTCAGGCCTTGCTTTGGATCAATCCCTTCTGGGTGGACTTTTGCCCACGAGGGGATGGGTAACTTAAGGTGTTTGATTTAAAAATGCTTTGTCTTCTGTGTTGTATACTCATTGTATTAAAGCCCCTTTTCATTAAAGTCTTATATGTTTTATCTTGATGCGACAGATGGTAGAATATATTTAGAGGGGGGGGGTTCAGTGGTGCCTCTCTCCTTGCCCTCTAACAAATATATAAAGGACTATCTGCTAAAAAACAGAGCATACTGCTTTCTTTTGAGAAGTGGAGCCAAAAGAATACTGAAAAAGAAAAGCACATCAGAAGTCAAAATTAAATGGTAGAAATTATTTCAAAAAGATTAGTAAGCAAAATGTGTTAAGTAGATTAAGGTAATTAAAGAGATCAGATTTCTGAAATCTATATACATGTACTGCTTCCAAGTAACATCTAAAAAGTACACGGAAAAACATTCCAGAAAACCCTAAACAAAGCTAATGGACAGAAGCCAAACTCATAGCAGACAAAATAAACACCTCTTCTCAAGCATACATAGAACACTGGAGAAAATATTGTTTCAAAAGAGCCCTCCCCAATGGCAAAGCGGGTTGGAACACAGCACTGTGAAGCTGGCAGGGACTAACTCAGTGCGAGTCTGATCCCACACCGGTCGGTAACCCAACATGGCGCAGCAGACCTCTCCTGTTTCACCTGCTGCTCCCCTCAGCAGTGTATTTCAGTCGATCTACCTGTTCTGCTCCCCTCTCTCTTTGGTGAATCCTTTCACAAACACCCCACCCCCACCTCTGGCCTGTACCCCAGTTCTTGTATGCATAAATAAGTTTTAAAAAAATCACAGTGGCTAAAAGGGTAAGGGAGGACTATTAGTCCCCGTAGACAAAAAATAAATCGAAATGGGAACATCCTCTCTTATATGCAAATAGCGGTCTCCGAGAGGAAAAAACTACAACTCCCACCTGACAACGCGAGCTGACATGGGCGGGCACTCCCTGCGCGTGGTTGGCTCTAACCAATAACGACTATCGTTACAGCGAACAGTTTGGCTCTGTTTGTAAAAGGCCGCGGCAGCCGAAGAGAGAGGAGGTGAGGGCGGTCATCCGCTTGGGGCCCCGGGTCCGCGGGGGCCGAGGGGCCGGGGCGCGGGGCAGGTAAGAGAGCCTTGTTGACAGAAGTCGTTGGCGGCGGTAGGACAGGGCGTAGAATGGGAATTCCAGCGGAGAGCGTGTCCAGGGAACCGATGATGCTTCTATTTGGGCCTACTCAGGCCGGAAGTGAGCAGTCGCGCGGGGAGGATGCTGGGAAGCAGGTCGAAGAGTGTAGTCGAGGAGGCGGGCGGAATCCCGGAAGCCGTCGGCTTCTTACCTGCGGGACCCTGAGGTTCAGACACACGCCTGTCTGCAAGACACGTTAGTCCATTTTCCGCTATCCCTGGGCAGCGCAGGTGTAATGGAAGTACCTTGGATCAGGATTCGCGTGTCCTGGCTTCCAGGCCTGCCCTTTTTCTATCACGTGTTTTTTGGTAAGGAATCCAACTGATTCCAAATTCACATTAGATCTCTGGTGGCTGTAAGACGTTTATCCAATAACTACTTTTTCTAAGCCAGTTCTTTGTAGCTCTTATTTAGGTAACATACTACATACTTCCTAGGATCACGGTGAGCAATACAGAAGTGAATGCATGGCAGTGGATTAACTGAATGTACTTTGAAAACGTTAGCAAATTTATATTTATTTATGGGGAGTATTCATTCTCCTTATTTATTGTGCTTCACGAGCATTGAACAGCATGCACCATACCGTATCTCTCTGTAGTCAGATAGTACCTGAATGAAAATTCACTCCATTCAGGGAGAGCTTATGGGTTAATCTTGCAGCACCAGTCCCTCAACACTTGTTGAGAAAGCTGTTTTGTGACTTGCCAAGAGGAAACCTTTTTATAGGCAGTATTCAAATACAGATTCTTTGCAAATTGTATTATTTGTGTGTGCTTTCAGTATAGAAGCTGTAGTAATACTAATACGTTTCAAAGTAAAATAGTACAAAACAGTAAAATGTAAGTCCCTACCCCATTTTCTATTTCCAGGTACCAAGTCACTTCACTTCCCTTCTGAATTTGTCTTTTTTCTTTTTTAAACTAAGAGTATAATGCTTGAAACACTCCACAGTGTTTCTTGAAACATTTTCTTTAACAATACATGAAAATCTGAGATCTGTGTTTTTTTTTTTTTT